CCAGGGCAGAGGTGACTCCAGCACCAGAAGAGCTGCAGCCACAAGGCAGGTGACACCCCACCCGGGGCGCCCTCTGCGGGGTGGTCCCTGCCCAGAGCCCCGGGCTGTCCTTCAAGATGCTGTCAGGAATGGTGACATGCGGGCAGGTTGATTGAGCTTTTGACAGCGTCTTCTCGCCAAGAGTATTGTTGAAAAATGGCAAATGTCCAGGTAGGAATGTGTTCCATTAGTACATTTCTAACATCAGCAAACGAACACCAACTTGACAGGAATTTGAGAAATTTAATTTCTGCTGCCGCGGAGCACTGGGGTGCTGGTTGAGAGGGTGCTGATGGGTTTATGAGTGTCTCATCGAGTTCAAGTCTGTGAGAAATAGCGCCTCGTGAAGGAAAAGCTGCAGTGGGAACTCAGAGGCAGTTCTCTAGCGGACTGAAATGCTGTGGCCTCCTGTTTTCAGGAAGGGCTTTTGTTGGCCTGCTGGTGCTGGACCCGTCACTCCCCTGGACACCCCTTTTCTCCGAGCCCCAAGGAGCAAGATGAGTGTGGGGGCAGGGCAGACGGTGAGGGCTGGGGTTTGCCGACGCCTGCGTCTGCGAAACCAAGGGTGTTCGTGCTCTGCCTAGAAGGGCCCAGAAAGCGGCAGACAGAGCCTGCTGTGGGCCCAGCTGGGCTTCAAGCCACCTGCTCTGTGCCCCGAACCCCAGTGCCAAACAGCCCAGCCAGAGAGCCCACGCTGGATACCTCGTTAGTGCTCCAGAAACATCTGTCTTGTGCTAAACCAACCCGCACTGACTCTGACAATTGGGTGGTGTGACCGCGTTCTTCTTCCCTGGAGAAACGGGCGAGGCCCCCTGATGTCAGAAGACGAACCTCTCAGGGAGACAGGGGCCTCACACCGTGAGCCCCTGCGACTCTCTTGCCTCCTCCAGTCTGCCGCGCTGCAGGCCGCCTGAACACCCTGTCTCTCTGGGGGCCGGGGGGAGGGGTGCAGGACTCTGCCCAGCAGTGCCAGGGAAGCTGCTGTGACCCCCAGCCCAGGCCTCCCTCTCCAAGGACACCAGCCTCGGAGAGAGACACCTGTCCACTCTCAGACCCCACTGGGCCAGCCCCTACTGCCCAGAACTGGAGCACAGGGACAGCCGCTCAGAGCCACTGGCTCAGAGATGGAGCACAAGCCCGTGGCCCCGCCCCACCTCTTTAACTCCCTCCTTCACTTAATCGTTCACTCCGCAGAGGCCGGGGGGCAGGAAGGGACCTACCCAAGGTCACTGCCACCTCACCAGCCCAGCCGGGCTAGAGGCCAGTGTCCAGAACCGCAGTTGGCTCTGCCCTGTTGCCTCGTCACTCAATGCCAGAGAAGTCACCCCAGGAGGGGAGTGGGTCTGCAGGGATGGCTTGCGGAACAGTAAATAACTGGGAGGAGGAGAGGTTCGGTTGCCGTTAATCTCTTCAGAATTTTAAAAGGAGCTGGGGAATATTGACACGAATTAAATCCAATAAAACATTCATTTAATTAAACTTTAAATGATCCAAATATTTGCAGTTTGGTTAATATTTGTGTAGCTGACAGGAGCAGAATGACGATGGTTCTGTCGGCGGCGTGCATTCTAATTCGGGGTATCTTCCCTGCGCAAAATGCACGTCTCCAGACTCACAGGAGTCGGGGCTGCCTCTGGACAGCAGGGCCCCCCTCAGCTGTTGCTGCACGTTTGTTTTTAGCCCTGGCTGCAGGCTTCTCCAGACACTGTGCTGAAACCGTTGGAAATCTGCAAGTGGAGGTGCACAGAGAGAAGGGGGCTCCAGCTGTGTCTCAAAGGTCTCACGTTCCAAATTAGGGTACAGGCTGCTAGCATGGTAATGAGGGCTCCTGAGCCAGCCACAGCGCCCCACCCTCCCTCTCTTCACACCCACTGCCCATCTGTCCACCCTGAACCTCCCGACGCCCCTCTTTTAAGGCAGTGGTTCTCAAGCCCCCGGTACCGCAGAAGCTCTTAGTTGCATCTTAAAACCCAGTGCCTGGTGGCCATCTCCCTGGTGGCGCAACGGGTTAAAGCGCCACATTATGAAGTTCTCTGAAGCCACTGCAGCATAAGTTGGATCCCTGGCCGGGGAGGTGACCCGCACGGCACGGCAGACCTCTCCTGACCCACCTGCTGCTCCCCTCAGCAGTGTACTTTGTTGATCTGCCTGTTCTGCTCCCCAATCTGTCTCTGGTGAA